CTCCCCAGCCACATGGGGATTTTGAAACAAAATGTTTTAAAAAGTTAGGTTAAGGCTAAAAAATGTGTTTGGTTGAGTTTTTTTTTTTTTTTTTTTTTTTTTTTTTTTTTTTTTTTTTTTTTTTTTTTTAAATTTATGGGGCCGAAATTTTTATACATGCTCTCATGTTATAAAGTTATATCCCAATTGTATATAAATGAATATAATTTATCTACTTTTTTATTGTTAGTTTTAAGTTTCCTCTTTTCTCATCAAGTATATTGATGAAGTCTCTTTTTCCATTCCCATTTAATAAAACTCTCTCCTTGCCACTCATCCTATGACATTGGCTTTGCTTGGCTTTTCGTTTGTGCCTGTATAGGAACAAGGCTTGGCGTAGTGGATGAGTGGAGTAAGCGATGAATCATAAAGGTTAAATTAAACCTCAATGTTGGTCCCTCAACTTTAGTACGGATCTTCCTTTGGTCATTAAACTAAATAATATTGTGTTTTGGTCCTTAAAATTTTAAATTTTAGCTTTATTTTTTTTTTTCTTCCAAATAAGAATTTATTTAGTCAAGCGACCAAAACAAGGGTCCATACAAAAGTTTAAGGATTAAAATTGGGTTTTAACCTAATGGTAATTTTGTAAGAAAGGATCATGTCATTAATTTGAAGGGATAAATAGATTTTTGACCCCAATCAATGTATTATGCAAGTAAAAATTTAAGGGAAGGACAAAAGAGTTGAAATTTAAAATCTTAAGGACTAAAATAGGACTTCATTCAGTTCAGAGCCCAATTTAGAGGTTTACATCAAAATTGAAGGCCCAACATTGAGGTTTAACCAATCATGATTAGGAGTTACATTGATATCTAATGCTTGGTAAAACAATTTTTTTTACTTTATTTCATGAAATCCCTTTTTGTCTTTCACTTTAACACTAATTTACCATTTTAACTCGGTAGTTTTGAGTTGATGCAATAAAATGAAACGATATAAAAACATGACCACTGCAAATTGTAGCATTTATGAAAGATTTTTTTGAAGGTTATGCTGAAAAACAACGTTGTTTTATTATTTATTTTACTAATTGTTACTTTTTAGTTTCACTATTTTCCAACCAAATGTCATTTAAAATGATTTGTTTTCCCATTGCTGGGTTTTATTATTGTTGAATCATTTGGATATGTTAAGATACTCTTTTAAGTAGGGATGATAAGGGAGCCCCATGGGGTCGAGAAGTATCTCCCCAGCCACATGGGGATTTTGAAACAAAATGTTTTAAAAAGTTAGGTTAAGGCTAAAAAATGTGTTTGGTTGAGTTTTTTTTTTTTTTTTTTGAACTCAGTAAAATGTCTATCATTTCATCAAAGCCATACGGCATCTACAAAGAAATCCAGATGACATAGATGAAATTACAATCAGATTAAGCACAACTGGAGAAAAAATAGAAAGTAGATCAAGTTCAACATAAATAGATCAAGGAGGGCAGTGAGCATTTCACACGAACAACCACTAAGGAGACAGATTGGCAGCTTCCTTTGGTCGATCGTTCCAGAGATCTGAACACCCTTCCATCTACTCTCGCATAAATGACCCTTGTTCTCCAGGATGTCGAGGTTGGAACTTTAAAGAAAGCGGCGGCCAGTCCCGAAATTCTTCATGATTGGCTTGTTGGCCCCCAGATCTGAGAAAACTCAAACAAAAAACAAGAAACAGAAAGAGAGTGATTAAATTCAATAAATAATCTATTAACTATGTGATTTATTTCAGTTTAGTTTAAAAATAATTTTTTCTTTCAAAATGATCTATAAACTATCAGTTTTGTTTCAAAATGGTCTACTTAACAAACATTCTGTTAACTGACTAAAGGAATTCTTTCTATCCATTGACAAGCTGTCCCTAAACTTTTGAAAAATGTTAAATTTAATATATATTTTTTTTTGCTTTTTTGCAATATTTTATTTTTTAAGTTTAAATTCTATGTCAAATCTAATAATTAATTAAGGTAATAATTTTAATTTACATTGATCAAGATTCTAATTTTAATTTACAATAATCAATATTATAATTTAAATTTTATTATTTCTAAAAAAATTTAATTTATTATTAAATATTAATATTTTTAATAAATAAATCTTTTCAAAATTTAATTTAATTAAATGAGTACCTACACATAATTAAAATTACTTGAAAAAATAAAAATTCATTTCAATTTTATAAATCCCCAAATTAAAATCATGCATGTGTTATTAGTGTTAAAAATAAAAATAAATTTTTTTATTTTTTTATACAAATTAGTGAAAAAAATATGTGATTTAATAATGATATTAAATTTTTTTAAAAAAAATTTAAATTCTAATATTAATTATTACAAATTAAAATTAAAATCTTGATATTTTAATTAATTATTACATTTGACATAGAATTTAAACTTCAAAAACAAAATATTGCAAAAAATAAAAATACACATACTATATTTAACATTCTCAAAAGTTTAAGGGCAACTCATCTACACCAACATGTCTAGACAAACATCATGTTAGTATAGTTAACGAAATATTTGTCAAGTAGATCATTTTGAAATAAAATTGATAATTTATAGATTATTTTGAAAGAAAAAATTATTTTTAAATTAAACTGAAATAAATCACATAATTAATAGATTATTTATTAAATTTAACCTTATTATATAGATAAATTTGTGCACGTGTGAGTGCATATACTCACATATTTTATTTTATATATAAACTTGTATTATATGTATGAACTCATAATTATATATTAATTTATGAATTTTTAATGTAAAATTTAATAAATATATAAGTTTTTTTTTTTTTGAACAAGTTGTCAAGGGGCAGGCACGAAATCCGCCCATGAAAGAAGGGAGAATGCACCTTAAACTGGTTGAGTGTCAGTTGACCCGAAGGGTCAGGTGCAATAAATATATAAATATATTATACCCAATAAATTAGATAACATGTATAAATTTTCAATTCTCAAGTAATTACTAGATATTAAAATCTTATACATGTTACTGTTCAAGTCTCATACTTACCGATGCTCACCCAGTCTCTTGGACCAGTGGCTTGGCCTCTATGCAAATGGTTTAGGCTCAAGCCCAAATGAAGACGCATGCCCCAGAGAAGGATTGAATACCGCCAGGCCACTTTGTAACGTTTGTTACCCATGTTCAAATTTCAG